CTCGAGTTCGAGGCTTTACGAGCTAACGAGCCGAGCTAGTTAAGGTTCAATAAAGCTCGTTAAGGTTCGAAAATAAAAAAAATTATATATTTTTTTATAGTTAAAGCTCGTAATCGGCTCGAGATCGAGCTCAATTTCATGCTCGTTTATCTAACGAGTCGAGCTCGGCTCGACTCGATAAGTCACTCTTACATCAATCTGTTTTTGTAACTTATCATTTTGCTCTACTAGTACAGATCCCGTGCGATGCACGGGGTGTACAATTTTAAGGTCATATATCTAGCCTTGTAATTATATAAATGAATAAAAAAATGTACGGGATATATAGTACGTGACCTGTGCGAGGCACGGAAACTATTTATTTGAGGAGTATAACATTTTAAAACGTGGAATATCTTTTCATTTGCCAGTGAGATAAGTATGTTGAACTATTCTTATCATCTTTTATAAATAAATATAATTATAAATTATTCCTTGCATAATACTATGAGATGTGTTAGTTATATTAGTTGTAAATTTGTTTTTATTTGTGAAAGAGAGAGCGTGATTTATTTTCTTAATAATATGGAATTTTGGAAACAAAAAAATCTGGGATAAAAAAAATACACGTCCAAATTGGAAAAAAGATAAGAAAAGATTTGTGATCAAATGCGTGATTTATTTCCTTAATAATATAGAATTTTAGAAACAAAAAAATCTGAAATAAAAAAAAATACACGTCCAAATTGGAAAAAAAGATAAGAAAAGATTTGTGATCAAATCTTACTATACACGTTTTATTTCTTGATTTTATCAGATTTTTTTTTTATCAAACTAAACGTAATTAATGCACTTGATAAGATTAGAAAGTCATTAATTAATGTTGACTATTCAACATACTAAATTTAGTAAATAGGTTTGCTTATAATATAAGCATAGATTTTTGTTTTTGCACTAAATGTGGACTCATATATGTTAAAATGACCTTCTAATTATCATTTTATTTTACATATAAAATATAAATTTTAAATTAACATTGTGCAATTAAAAAATGTTATGTATTTACATAGATATCAAATCAAATGTTGTTATAATATAATTTATATTGATATAAATATATTTAAATTGATTACAAATATATAATTTATAATATATACTACCTCCTTTCTTAAATAAATGTCGTTTTGACTTTTTTGATTCATTCATTTTGCTATGTATCTAGATATAGCAAAATGAATGAATCAAAAAAGTCAAAATCACATTTATTTAAAAAAGGAGGGAGTATAATTTAGTTTTCTCATTAATAATTATGATATAAAAAGTCACGTGCTGCGCGGGAAGTGAAATTTTGAGCGCCCAACGCTCACAGAAATAGAGCCCAAGGCAAAAAAGTCCTCGTAATCCCATAACAAGCTAATATCTAATACTAGCCGTTGATTTATCTCTTATCAACGGCTTATAACCAACAAACGCAACGACGCGGATGGCAACAAACAGCCGTAGATTCTAAACAGAGCCAACGGCTCAGATGTCCCCATTACCACTGATTACTACTCTATAAATATAAACAAAAAAATCCTCATCTTCATCCTCAATCGACTCGCAAAATTAGGACCCGAAAATAAAATTCAGATCTACACAGAGTAAGGAAAAAATGTCAGGAAGGGGAAAGGGAGGCAAGGGCTTGGGAAAGGGCGGCGCCAAGCGTCATCGGAAAGTGCTGCGCGACAACATCCAGGGAATCACCAAGCCGGCGATACGGCGGCTTGCCCGTCGGGGCGGCGTCAAGCGCATCAGCGGCCTCATCTACGAGGAGACTCGCGGCGTCTTGAAGATCTTCCTCGAGAACGTCATCCGTGACGCTGTCACCTACACGGAGCATGCTCGCCGGAAGACGGTGACCGCCATGGACGTGGTGTATGCACTCAAGAGGCAGGGCCGCACGCTTTACGGGTTTGGCGGCTAGGGTTTTGGTCGATTTTAGATCTTTCAATCTCATTACGATGAGTGTTTTTATTCTGAAATGATAGCTGATTAGTTAAATTGTGCGCAGTTATTGTCACCGTGTCTTTTTGCAATGTATTCGTCCTCGGAATGAAAACGCCATTGTTAAATCTCATATTATGTGGATTGCAGTTTGGATGATGCCTTTAACCGTCTAGTTATTATAAAGCTATAATACAATTAGGTCAGTTCTCCCCGATGGTACTCTCTATGACTTTCAATGAAAAAAATGATTTTTGGCAGTGCTATCACCGATAAGACTCCAATTTCATAGTTCATTGCCTCAAAATAAACATGGTTAGTCAACGGGCTGGGTCACGGCTGGGCTGGTGGCCTCTCTTAACCAGCTTGCCAAATACCAAGGGCCGGGTTTGTTGAACCGGCCTGGCCCGGCCCGGTCGTGGATCGTTGGACCAAGAAAAAAGGACCTGGACATGACCCTAAGCCACAATGCCGGTTCTTGGAACAGACAACTTACGGGCCGGTTGTTGGTGTAGTTTGTATTGTTTGTGAATATCAAAAAGAAGACTTAAGGAGAAAGAAGAAAACAAAACAAAAATCAAAGTCGAGGCACGTAATAGTTACGTTTTCCTTAAGACGAAATTGCCACCCACGGTTAATGGCAAACGCTTTCAAGATACAACCACTTTCGACTTGTATATAGCGGTACTTCAAATATACAAGCCTTCGGCGAACACTATTATTGTTTGAAACTCGTTTGAAACTCTCAAGAATCAATGTAAAAAACATAGACTACAATATGCTATATGATCTTTGAAAAATAATGCAAGAGCTCTCTAATTTTCATATTGTTCAAGTTATGTATGATTTCATCTATGTGGGTATTTATAGATGGAGGGGAACACCTCCAAAAGGTTTAAGTCTCAAAAGACACTTTTTGGGACGTGTTCGAACGAGAATGGATGCATCTAGTGGCCAAAAGATACCTTATGGTCACCAAGGGTTACGACCCTTTGATTCCGCAGCCAGTTGCGCGCCCGTGCGCCGCGGGCTCGTACGAGCTCATACGGACTCATAATTGAGTTTCGTTTTTTTCTATTTGTCCCCAACGAGCCCCTCTACAATTCTAGCATACATAATGCATAATTATAGCTCGTTTAGTTTGTACAAAACAGAATGTTTTGTGAATCCTACAACCTTTGAGTTATTAAACTCAATTAATTAACATATAACACTTAGAATTAATTTCTCATTCACCTTAAAAAGGTTTTGAGAATTTCCTAAGTCTTCTATTGATGAGAAATAGAATCATTAAATCGGTACAAAACCAATTTTTTCTTAAAATCCCCCACATGAATTAAATTAATGCATGTATGCAATACTTGAGAGTTCCGGTGAACCATCATTGCATCAGGATAGATAGCTTGTGGCTTTTAATCTTTCTTAGTGAAATACTATCGGATACACTAGCCGATTAGTAGTGCGATGCTTTGAACTTATTGGCTGTTTGTGTGCACCAAGACAATAATACTCACACAGTAATAGCTCTAACAATTTTTTGTTCTCACGTTGTGTCTATTTCGACCTTGGACCATATCTCGCTTTAATAAGTGTTCGATTGAAGCGGCCTATTTACTTCTCACTTACAAATGTGATTATCCTATAAAGAGTATCCTGCCTTACTCCACCCATAGGTATAGGAATCATTAAAAGTTCTCGACTTAACCTCACCACTTAGGCAGTTATAACACTTGACGGTTCTAGAAATGAGCATAAATTTTTCAAGTGTTTCACTGAACTGTCAAAACTTAGTTTTCCCATTGAACCAAGGTTTCGGGATCTCCGATTCTCATGGTTGGGTTACCGTTAAGACCGTTCGTTTGTTGTGGATTTTTATTAAGCTCATTCCCCTAACCAGTTTGTACAATTTATCTCGTTTCATGCTTTTTTGTAAACGGATCCGTTAGGTAATCTTTGACTTCACATAGTCAACCGATATAATACTCACACAAAATAATTTTCTTATGAAATTAAGTCTGACGTATATGTCTAGACTTACTATTGTACAAACTACTTTGTACTCTTTCAATTTCTAATTGATAAATAATCATCACCGTGATCACAATTTATTCCACCTAGGAATATCTTTAGAAAATTTCTAAGTCATTAGCTTCATCCACACCTTTTTCCCGAATTTATAAACTCGAACTCCATTGTGGATCTAGCTTTATACTTAGATTATTTTCATGAGACTACT